GGCCGACTCATCCCTGGGCTCCCCCCGCAGCTCAGCCCGTGCGCCTCAATGCACCTGTGCCGCTTGGGCAGCCTCCGGCCAACCAGCTGTTGGAACCCGAATTAACTGAATGAAATGAGCCTGCTGCCCTTTTACAAAGAAATCCGCCGGCTTCCTGGCGACCGAGGGCCTGGCCTGATGAGCAGCTCCCGGCGCTCGGCTCACCCAGGCCTGCGGGGCGAGCTGGCGAGGATTACATTCTGCTGTACACTGGGCACGTTAATCTCCTCCCCAGCTTTTCTCAAAGCTGCCCGCACCCTCCCCCCGTCTCTTCTCTCTCCCTCTTTCCGTGGGTTCTCCAGCGCAGGCGGAATGACCCGTCTCCCTGCCGCTCGGTGTCCCGGTCCTGGGAGATCTGGCGCGTCCCCTCCCTGCTTTGTTGTGGGCAGGGGCTGGTCCGTGCTTGGGGGGCTCCCTCCCGGGTGTCGGTGGCTCATGCTGTTTTCTGTCTCTCCGCCTGCCTTGCCCCCACAGCTAGAGGAGAGCTTGCGCCAGAAGGGGATGGACCCGGTGACCAATGCTGACGTGGGTACCCTGCAGCGGGAGGCTGTTGCTGGCGGGGGAGGCACGAACCCTGTCCTGCCGATCGGGGGCGAGCGCACCCCTCTGGCCCTGGGTGCCTTACGATAGTCAAGTTCTCCCCAGGCAAACTGGGGTGCATGGCTCACGCTGCTGTCAAACCCCTCTGGATTGGTGTAACTGACGAGGGGCTTGGACCAGCAGCCGCCTGGCTCCAAGTCCCACTTGGCACCCCCGCAAAGGCAGGATTCTCCTCCCCACGATGGAGCGGGAGCCAAACCTGTAACCCTCAGAGTTCTACCCAATGGGACCGAATGCCAGGATGGGCCCGATCCAAACCCCACTGCCCTCGGTGGTAAGGCTGCCCTTGATTTTGGCACAGCTCAGGCCCAGAGTTCTTGTAGTCGCCGCCTGTGGATGCTCCGTCCTCTCGTTGACTGGACAGGACCCGGAGCCACCCGTCTCCAGTGCCTTGCACCCCTCGCGAGATGAAACTCCCAAGCCTTGAGCATGGTCGCTTGTAAATCACACGCTGGGATTTCCAGCTCCCTCTGCCTCCTCTGATCCACCTGGCCTCAGGCCCCGTCTTTACGTTCATGGAAGGCACCAGCTCCTAACCCAGCACGTGCTTGCTTGTAACATGCCCAGGGAAAGTTCTGGGGCTTATGGGTCCTAACACGGTTGCTTCAAACGAGGAATCGCCACTCCTTTGGGGAGGGAGGAGGCGCCCATAGTGCGCTGTGTGTGCATGTGCAGGAGAGACTTTTATGTTACGCAGCAAATAAATGAACTCCCGTCCCCCAAACAGCTGATCTAGTTTTATCTGCTCTTGTTAGAATAGGTGACAGGCATCTTAACGTGCCACAAAGCCCCCGGAAGTTACGTTCCTCATCAGTGGGCCACTCCCACATCAATTATTCCCAGCAGCGGGAATGGTGTTACCGCAGTGTCCTCTCTCTGCTAGCTGGGTAGTTCTCCACCCCCGACAGCCCTGTGCAGACAGCTCCACTCCAACCTGGGGGCTGACTCTGAGCTCATAGAATCCCAGGGCTGGAAGAGACCTCAGGTCCAGCCTCCTGCCCAAAGCAGGAAATAAGTGCTTGTGCGGGGTTTGAACCCAGGACTCTCCAGCCCAACCCAGGAATCATACCCCTAGAGCAGTGTTTTTCAACCTTTTTTTTTAATAAAGTACCCCTTTTTAAAAAATGGTCAGTTTTCAGACACACACAATTTGTTTCTACCACTGCAACGCATTTGTTTAAACAACTCAATTGCAGCCAGGCGGGCGATGAAATTTGTGGGTGTAAAAAGTACCGAAATAATAAAGCGCTGTCACACTTCCAACAAAAATTCCGTTTTCTCCAAATTTCAGTGGTGTTGACATCCCCCCAGACTTCTCTCGTACCACGGGTTGAGAAATACTGCCTTAGAGCAACGAGCCAGGTCGTGTGAAAACAGACAATATTAGACCGGGGTTTCATGCAGGTTTCCCTGGTGAGAACTGCCTGTGTCCCCCCAGCTCAGGGAAGGGGTCTCGCTATGACATATTCTTAGGCTAGTAGCCACTTGTTACAGGTTCCAGCCTCCTTTCTGAGCCTTTGATGGCTGCCAGCGAAGCGGCATTGCTGCTCTCGGTCCTTGCCAGCCCAGGGGGCTAGCTCTTGCGAGCACCACATCTAACCACCAAGTCCCTTGGGATCTCACATTTGCATGTGGCTGTCAGTCCAGGTTGTGGTGCTGTCCTTGCTCTCAGAAATCACAGTGCCTTTTGCTGGGGATCACGGTGCTGGGACGTGACTCTCCCCTGGGTGGGGCGTGGTGCATGGTTTCCTGGTGCTGCGGTCTGACGCATGGGGGGCTTGGCTGTGCATGCCGCGTGGCTGTCTTGTGTCTGCCACGGAAGGGCCTGTGTAGTGAGCAGCATGCGGCCTTCGTGTCCCCCGGGCTCAGGGCTGTGTCTGGGGAGGGGTCCCAAGTACTGATTTCGCCATGTCTTTTGCTGCGGAAGCTGGAGCAAGACATCAGCTGGAGCTGTCAGGGGTTGGGCACCACGCCTGAGGAAGAGATGGAGCTGAGGAGGAGGAACCAGATGGTAAGGAGCTCGGGCTGGCCTGGGGTCTGGTGGCGCTGGAGTAGAAGTGGCTCTGCTCTGTAATATGTTGTGTGTCTTATCCTGGATAAGATGAAACGAAATCAAAGTGTTGGGGGGCAGTGTGGCCTAGTGGCTAGGATGTTTACCAGGCAGTCAGGAGACCTGGGTTCTGTGTCTGACACACCCCAGGCAAATTATTTTGCTTCTCCATGCCTCAGTTTCCCCCTCACTATTTCTGCCTTATTTATTGAGGCTTCAAAGGGCACAGACTGTGCCCAGTGTGTGATTGGTGCTTAGCACGATGGGGCTCTGATCTTGGTCGGTTTCTCTGTTACAGTAGCATTTCTACAGATAAGAAGCCACTGGGGTGTCAGACTCTAGCAGACGGGGTACCCCTAGAAGCACTCAGGGGACTGCTTTCAAGGCATGGGGGAGGCTGGAGGTGGCGGCTAATCAGGGCTGCAGCAATAAGCTGCACATGGTGTCTGCCCCTCTCCGTGGAGCAGGGAGGCCGGGCTGGGGCTAATACCTACTCTTCCAGGTTCGGTGCAAAAAAGCTGCTCCCGATCTGTGAGGCCCTGGCAGGATCACAAGAACGGCCAGACCGGGTCAGACCAAGGGTCCATCTAGCCCAGTGAACTGTCTGCTGACAATGGCCAGTGCCAGATGCCCCAGAGGGAGGGAACACAACAGGAAATCCTCACGTGATCCCTCCCCCGTCACCCACCTCCAGCCCTGACAAACAGAGGCCATGGACACCACCCCTACCCATCCTGGCTAATAGCCATTGATGGACCTAACCTCCATGAATCTAGCTAGCTCTTTTTTCAACCCTGTTAAAGTCCTAGTCTTCACCTCATCCTCTGGCGAGGAGTTCCACAGGTTGACTGTGCGCTGAGTGAAGAAAAACTTCCTTTTGTTTGTTTTAAACCTGCCGCCTTTTAATTTCATTTGGTGACCTCTGGTTCTTATATTGTGGGACCAAGTGAATACCTTTTCCTTTTTCACTTTTTCCACACCAGCCATGATTTTATAGACCTCTCTCATCTCCCCCCCTTAGTCTCCTCTTTTCTAAGCTGAAAAGTCCGAGTCTTTAATCTCCCTTCATGGCAGAATGTGATGAGACTCGGAGAGGGCTCGGCTGCAGAAAAACAATGTTTCTACCTGAATCTGGTGCCAGTGGGTACCCCAAAGAGCACACCATTGGAGGGAAGCTGCCAGGATAAATACCTGGGTGCTCATAGCTCTGTCAGTCATTGAGTGGCTGCTTTGCTCTTTTGGGTCAGTTTCACTTCCCAGCCCTTCTGCTCTAGAACGAAGACTGTTGAGTGCGAGATTCCCTCCTGGTCCTGGGTGCTAACAACCCAGTAACTCTCCTTCACTGGCGTCAACTGTGTGCCCTTGTTGTCAAGAAGGCTAACGGCATATTGGGGTGCATTAGGGGGAGCTTTGCCAGCAGATCCAGAGAAGTGATTTTTCCCCTTTATTCGGCTCTAGCGAGGCCAGTCTGGAGTATTGTGTCCAGTTCTGGGCTCCCTATAACAGAAAGGATGTGGATGAATTGGAGAAAGTCCTGCGGAGGGCAACCAAAATGATTATGGGGCTGGAGCACATGAATTACAAGTTGAGGCTGAGGGTATGTCTACACTACAGAGTTAGTTCGAACTAATGGACGTTAGTTCGAACTAACTTTGGGTATGTCTACACTACCCCGCTAGTTCGAACTAGCGGGGTAGTGTAGACATACCCTAAGTTACTGAGGACCCAACGTTATGGGGTTCAACTTAGGGATGTGAAGAGGTAATTGGTTATGTTTGCAGCAAGCTCCAGCCCCGGCAGCTAGACCCGAGCAGGCTGAAGTGGTTCCCAGTCCAGGATCCCACTTAGTCAGTTAACCAGTTAAACGTTAGGTTAGCTACAGTTTAACTGGTTAACTGATTAATTGGGATTTTACATCCCTAATTCAATTCTGCAAGGTTGTGAGCAATGTAGCTCTGCTCCAACAAAGCAAGTAAGCAGTTCAGTGGGACTACTCATGTACTTATAAGCACACACTTAATTGATGTTATGGCTCATGACCCAAGTGCTGTACTTGCAGGACTGAGCCCTTACAGGTCAAAATAAAAAACTTAACTACAAAGTGGATCCTGTGCACTCTGTGAAATGAACACAGGGATAAATGGTCTGGATATGGAGTAACAGAGTAGTTAGCTACATTCTTCAACTGGTGAGGTGTGAGTGGCCTTTAAAGTGTAGTTCCGTGTAGAATAAGTTACAATAATTCCATTTGGAGGTAAAAAAGGACTGTTACTAGAAGGTGAAAAGTCTTTCTATTTATGAATGTATATATTATCACTTGTTACTCAGGCATTCTAGTGCTGAGTTAATATATTTGGCTTTGTGTCTATTTTATTTATTCCATTCTGAGCCAGATTAATGTATTTACATACACATATGAATATATTATATAAAGGAAGATAAGAAATAAAACCTTGATATTTTTCATCACAAATGCAAATGGCTCCAGTAGTACAATATCCATGACCACTGCAGAGTTTAGGGCAGGCTTCTCCAATGTACACATGATCTATTGCCCAGCTTTGCTTCTCTGTTTCCTCTCCTTTTTGAATCCATCTGAACTGAGTTGCACTACAAATACCAAACAACCCAGTATCACATAAAGTTGCAGACAGCACTTCAGCATTTCTGTACAGAAACATTTGATCACATGCACACAAATTGAAGCAGAAAAAATGTGCAGTCAGGACACTAGATTTGCATTTTGGAGTGAGGCACAGAAGAGACTGAAGTGACTTGCTCAATATATGTAACAAGTTAGCAAAAGAGCTCAGAGAACTATACTCAGAAGTCCAGACTCCCAATTCTCAGCTTTCATCAGAGCGCCATGCTACCAAACACCATTGAAATGGAACTTTATTTTGATAGGAGCCATCCTGCAAACATTTAGTATTCAATCTAGGGCACACTTTTGAATGGTCCCAATGCCTTCAGTTACTTATCTTATCTTGATCCCTTACTCAACTTGATCGGTGGAGTACCAGAGTAAATGGGAACTCGATCAATGGTTGATTTAGTGGGTCTTTTTTAGACATACTAAATCGACCCCTGGAAGTTTGGATCCCCACAGCACGGATTTCTCTATAAGTGTAGACATGGCCTACATTTGTCAAAAATAGAAGTAAAAAATTATTCTATTAAATGCACACTTGGACACTTTCATGATTTTCAAAAACTTTGTGAACCCAACAGCATCTAGGAACCCAGGAGCTGCTGAGTGCTCAGTACTTTAAAAAATCAGATTACAGAATATGGATTTAGCAGCCTAATTTCAGATTTCTATTTTTGAAAATATTGCCTTGTATCTAAAGATTTACACTGGTCTACAATTATAAATCTGAACCCTGAAATTGCTTACTACAAATAATAGTGCTTGCTAACATGATTACCTTGATTGGCTTCAATGGACCACTCAAAGCAATAAGTATTTGCAGGATAAATTCTTATGATTGTGTTACAATGACAGTCTTTAGCCTGAACATTGTGACTATTTAATCCTTGGCAGTAGCAGCATTTATGAAAGAAAACAATTCCAAAGGTGTCCATTATGTATCATTTTCAAATCCAGACAAAAGAGAAACACTTTCAATTCATCACTTATTCTGTACCAACAGTGCCAGCTAGACAGATGAAGATTGATATTTCCAAAGTCAGCCAACCTTTTGGTAACCTACCTGGAGGAGACATGATCAGGCAGCTGGATAGTTATTCTTTTCCATGTGGAGCTGTTGACAGAGTTATAGATGGTAGCTTCATGGAACTGAAATGGGGATGTTCTCAGTGGTGACAGATGCAGAACAAGGAGCAATGGGCTCAAGTTACAATGGGGGAGGTCTAGGTTGGATATTAGGAAAAACTATTTCAGGAGGAGGGTGGGGAAGTGCTGGGCTGGGTTCCCTGGGGAGGGGGTGGAATCTCCATCCCTAGAGGTTTTTAAGTCCCAGCTTGACCAAGCCCTGTCTGGGATGATTGAGTTGGGTTGGTCCTGCTTTGGGCAGGGAGTTGGACTCGGTGACCTCCTGAGATCTCCGCCAGTCCTGGGATTCTGTGATTTCCGGTGCAGACGCCCTCTGGATCTGGTCAGAGGAAGGGTCCAGGGGCAGAGCGTGTTTTCATTGAAAGAGATTGACGGCCTCTTCCGTTCACATGAGCTCTTTGTTGATCTGTGTTTCTGCCTCCGCTACTTGATATTTGCATCACTGGCAGGTTCTGCAGAGTAGGGTTGCCAGGTTGTTTCAACAAACATACCGGACACACTGGACATGGCGTCACAATCTGCATGACCATCTTATGCAGAAAATACTGCACATTTCTATTTTCGCAATTTGTTTCCCGAACAGAAAGCTCAAAGACTGGACTCAAAACCGGACACTTGGCAACCCCGCTGCAGGGCAGGGGCTGCATGTACGTTCGGGGTGTGTACAGCGCTGGGCACGGGGTGGGCACTGGTCCGTGGCTGGGGCCGACCGGTGCTGCGGCAATGCAAGAAACACTGATCACGTCGGCCCCTTAAGTCCCGGCCTTTCATTCATGCAAAGAAGCTGAGGCCTGGCTCCCGCGGCAGGCCCGGGAGTGTGT